AGTTTATACAAACTTAAGAGCGCGCACCTGTTCAGGGAATGAGATATGCTAGTATATGTACCAGTGCGAAATAACTGAAACTCTCAATTCCTATTCAGACTCCAGAATCATGAAAACTGGAACTTGCCGATTTAAAATACCAATGTTTGTTGCCATGTTAAACACCTGCGCGCATCTATGAACATGCTGAATCCGTACTTTCCTGCCACTGTGAACTGACACGTGATTTTTTACGATAATAATAATATAAACGACATGTACTTGGGTGAGAAAATTTTTAAGTGTCGTCTTAGCTTCCGAGCTTAGCAGCCGGAAACTTAGAACATGGTCACGTTCCTCGTTTCGGGAACGTTCTCGATTCGGGAACATTTACGTTCAATAAAATAACACCTTAAATTCTCGTTTCAAGTTTCAAATTATGTACTCTCTTCTTCTTTCCAAGTTCATATTTTATATACTTTCTATTCTATGTACTTCCTCTTTTTTCAAATTATAATTCGTTTTAGCTTTTTAAGGTCCAATAAATCTTGCTATATATTTAGATATATGTTATGTCTGGATACACGGCAAAACAACTTAGAATTTGAAAAGAGTACTTGTATAGGAGTAGTAGTGCACATGAACTCATGTTTGTTTGATATTTTCCGTCCACTTTGATCGCTTGTGAAGACACAATCTGTTCAATGCTCTTCCCTACCCAAAGATAAAATTCGATCTTCAGGTAAACAGCCCGTTCGCTGATTGATTTCTGGGCTGATAAGCTCGACCGGTGTTGGTTTGTTGTAAGAGAAAAATACTATTGGCTAGCTGATAAGCCCTGACTGAAACCCACGAACGGGCTGAAACCGTAAACACCACACACGTGATCAATCGTGATTCGTGATCGTGACATTTGCAAACTCCCTTTGCTATGAAATCCATAAATCAGACCACACACGTGATTTAAAAATTTGTGAAAATATCACTCTTGATTTGTTTATTAATAAAAATTCTTCAAGAATGACTTAAATTTAACTATATTTGCATAATTTTTTTGAATAAGACGAGTGATCAAATTTTGAAAAAAAAAATCAAACGTCTTACAATTTGGGATGGAGTAAGCATATTTTTTCGAAAGTAACCTTTTGCTACATATATCTACTCATCGTCCAAGCTTTGTCCACTGCACCAGCGAAATTTATACGAGTAGTACATCTCCAGAAGACCAGAAACCAAAAAGAACATGTGCCATTAATTGTAAAGTGCACGGACGGTCTCCATTTATAATCTGTCTCATCCATCCGGACTCCCGCCCGTCCGTAATGACACCAACCCACCTCTCGATCCAGGTACAGGGACGCCGCTACCCGCCGCCCTGCACCCACGCCACGCCACGCCATGCCGACGCTGGGCATCGCGCCGCTGCTGGACGCCTACTTCCGGCGCCGCTTCGCCGCGGCGGGCCTCGTCGAGGCCTCCGTCCCGCTGGACGGCGGCGCCACCACGGTCCACTGCTGGCGCTTCTCGCCGGGCGCCGCCGATGACGGCGAGGGCGACGCCCGCCCCGTCCTGGTGCTCCTGCACGGCTTCGGGCCCCCGGCGACGTGGCAGTGGCGGCGCCAGGTGGGCCCGCTCTCGCGCCGGTTCCGCCTCATCGTCCCGGACCTCCTCTTCTTCGGCGGCTCGTCCACCACGTCGGCGCCCGGCGCCGGGCGGGTCTCCGAGGCGCAGCAGGCGGAGGCAGTGGCGAAGCTCGTGGCGGCCGTAGTGGCGCCGGCGCCGGGCGCGCCGGCGCGCGTGTCCGTGGCCGGCACCAGCTACGGCGGGTTCGTGGCGTACCACGTGGCGCGGCTGCTGGGCCCCGCCGCGGTGGAGCGGGTGGTCATCGCCAGCTCCGACCTGCTCAAGGCTGCCGACGACGACCGCGCCCTGCTCCGCCGCGGCGGCGCCGAGCGCGTCGAGGACGTCATGCTGCCGCGCTCCCCGGAGCAGATGCGGCGGCTGCTGCAGCTCGCCTACCACCGCCCGCGCCGCTTCACGCCGGGCTTCGTGCTCCGCAACCTCGTCCAGGTAACCGCAAACTCCTCCTCGATCCATGCCTGAATTCCTACACTATACAACTCAAAGCACTAGATAGAAATAGAAGATGCGATCGTGCTTCCGGTCAAACAATAAGCTCGATCGTTCGCGTGCTCGTCGTGTCGCGTTGGGATCGAGTCCTTCCTTTAGGCCATCTGGCTCGCTGCTCGGTTGCATCGGAGTGTCGCATTCATGCATGGCCAGATGGCCTGGCCTCCACGTCACGTCGAGACGGTGCCAACTGCCATGCCACGTCGCCTGGCGATGACGTGGCCCTGGATCGGAATTCTTGTTTCTGACGCCAGGTTCCTCGTCTTCGGATCCTCGCTTCCCGGGTTTCCCAACTGCCACGCTGAATCGCCATCAACTCCCAGCGGCCGCGGCCTAGCTTCCGTTCGTTTCCCAACCGTTCCTGCGGCAATCAATCCTGGACGCCCGCTCTAGACACCCAGATCCTTCTAGAACTACTAGCAGAGTAGCAGTACAGGTCAGTGACCAGTACAAGCGCGTCGTTGCATGCCTGCCTGCTACCTGACCCTGTTCAGTTTCGTCGTAAACGATTATTTACTACTGGTTTGGTGTGAGAGAAAAATACTGTTCCAGCTTATAATCCACGATTATACGAGTAAGCGCATTCCAACAAACGACGACAGGCATCGCGGCCATCTTTTTCCCCGACCTCAGAGCGTCTAGACGTCCGTTCAGTAGGCCTTCCTTTGTTGACGTTGACGGCAAACTAGTGCTTGGCAAATGGGCAGACACAACCATTGTATTAGCTCGGCTGCCATATTTTGGTATGCTACCCCATCGTAATTTCTTTGCAATTACAAGAACAGCCACTGCACATGTTCAGTATCAGTCTTGAAAAGGACCACGGTGCTGGCATTGTACAACAGCCGGTTCTGGATTCAATTGGAAGTTGGAACTTGAGAGTAGTCAACGTCAACAATGGAAGGCCTACTAAATCCAGGCCGTACGTGGCTGAAGTTAGTAGTAGATTTCCTATTATAATGTCAATATACTCAATAAGTACTGAAGTGCAGTCTTATCTTTGGTTCTGGAGACTGAAACACAACACAGTAATCCGTTACTTATTGATAGAAACTACCTCTGTGATCTCAGCATGATTGCATGACTACGACCTCTAGATTTGAGTAACAGTAAGACTCTGCTGCAGTATCTGTACAGCGACAAAGTAGAAGAGAAGAAGGAGCTAATCAAGGGGATAACACTGGGTAACAAAGACAAATTCCAGCTTACACCTCTCCCCCAGGTACTTCCTAAATACTTAGCAACAGCAACGCATTATTAGTTATTACCATTCCATATTTGATCTTCTTACCCAACATCTGTCCAATCTTTCAGGAAGTCCTTGTGTTGTGGGGAGAGCATGATCAGATATTCCCTGTCGAGAAAGCATTCGAAGTGGCAAGGTCAGTACATGCTGATCTCACCTTGTACAGTTTGATTTCACGTGTGGCATTTAAAACTTACGAAAGGAAAAATGCAAATGCAGGAAACTTGGAGCAAATGCTAGGTTGGAGGTCCTCAAGGAGACCGGCCACATGCCTCAGGAAGAGGATCCAAAGCGGTTCAACGAGGCAATCCTGAACTTCTTGCTTCCAGCTCCAAAGTCCTCTTTGTAATGCGATATGAGTAGTTATTCAGGCCCAAGGATCACCGGGAGAGTTCATAATTTAAGATGCATTCTGCCTGATTAATGCAGTTCTTTGTTGGTTTGGTATCACGTCCAAGGTTGATGAAATGGGAAATATATGTTATTGGATTGCTATTTATCTGTCAACAGATTTCTTCCCCATTGAACGCTTGCATGTGTCGTTTCTTATGCTATTTAGCATGTTCCTGTTTGTGTTGTGATATCTGGAGGGTGAATGATTCGTGGGATCAAATCAATATATATTGCGCGACATTGGATGTGTGGGTGAAGGGAGCGGGCTTTTAGCAGCGTCGCGGTTGCAAAGGAGCAAAGGGCTGCTAGGGTTGAGGTGGGTCTCAAGAGCAGTTGCGCCCATGGCATTGCGGCAGATGCGTGTCGATCGCTAGAGTGGGGAGCAAATGGGGTGGAGAGAAGGGTCTGATCGTCAAGAAGTCGTGAAGTAAAACATCTCCGAAACCATGTATAGTTTCTATGTACGTAGACACTACATGTAGAAACTACGTTTCTAATGGATAGTTTATACAGAATAATCTTTTGCTTAATCGCACATCTTCTCTCTCCCTCATCTACTTATCATATCTCTTCGTGTAGACATGGTTTTTTATTAAGAAACCATTTCCTCCTTTCTCCTCAATAAATCGCTTGCCACGTCAGCGATGCTTAGGTGATAGGATAATTAATGCACATAGAAACTATGATAGTTTCTGCATCGTGAGTGCTCTTAACTGCCTAGAACAAAGTTGTGCCTGTAGCATAGGTCGGTCATGGATTGGGTGGTGGGATGGTGCGGGCCGGACGATGACGAATATGGTGGCGACGATGGCTGAGGGTGGGGTTATGGGCGGGCCGTCGGTGTCGCTAGGGTCAACAAGGGGCGGCCATCGCCTTCTGACACGGCGGGAGTGACCAACCTTACATGAATTTCATTCATACGACTAAGTTCAATGCTCAAATCGTTCATAAAAAAAAGTTCAATTGCCAGGATTAGCGAGAAAATTTCGTCATTCCAAAGAGGCCTGACTTTTGTACATGCATATTGTTATAAGCAGAGTGAAGTCAGCAAAAGTCGTCGTGCCTATGGCTCGCCCATACAATGATACAAACCACCTATCCGTCTCAGACTTTTGAGTGCCAACCACCGTGTTGTAATCATGCATTACACCGGCGCGCGCGTGCTGGTCTCACGCTCTCGGCGCGAGTCCAGTCCAGACCATGGGAAAAGCTCGCGTGCGCATCAGCACATGCACCATGAACCCCTTGTCGCTTATGCGCCACGCCCCATCAGCTCTGGGCTGGCCTGCGCCGGCCGCCACAGGGAGCAGAACGACACGGGTTGACCCTTCCACCGGAGCCCCACCGCTGCCGCCGCGGACAACGACGGCGGCACCAGCTCCCACCCGCCATCGTACTTCCTCAGCAGCGCCTTCGCCGTCTCCACCGCCTCGCCCCCGAACGCCGCTTCCTCGAACCCCGCCGCGGCCAAACGCGCCCGCCACGACTCCCTCCCCCCGCCCACGGCCGCTCCCCTCCGCGCCGTGGGCGCCAATGCTGTCCCGGCCTCCGCTTCCATCACCCGCCTCTCATCCGCATCCATCCCCTTGAACGCCGCCGCCGTCGAGTCAAGGAATCTCCAAAGCAGCTCCAGCCTCGCCGCGAACTCGCTGTCTGCGCTGTAATCGCTGTGGCCGCCGCCGCCGTCCAGCTCAGTGAGGACCATTAGCTCCGGGTTGAGGTCCCTGACCGTTCGGAGTATAGCTGCTTGCTCGTCGGCGGTGGCGAGGCCGAGCCGGAACTGGAGGCAGACGATGAGGGTCTCGCCGGGGGTGAGAGTGCCGTGCAAGGTGTCCAAACATGGCGCTTGGACGATGCCGAGGTCCAGGTCGATGGACTTGGCGTACCGGAGTAGCTGCGGTGAGCAGTCGTAGCCTGGAGGTGATGCGGAGAAGGGCACGGGTGGTGTGGCCGTGGGGCCGGCGACCGTGAGGCGGACGGAGGGCGGCGTGGAGCCCCGGGGCACGCGGGTGAGCGCCTCGAACAGCGTCGGCCATTGGACGCCGTGCGAGACACCGATGTCCACGACGTGAACCTGGAGGGGCTCGGTCACCTCACCCTTCGTCGACCTGGCCTGCGCGATCGCGGAGTTAGCGAGCGCGTTCGGCACGGCAAACCATGGGCTGACCTCGTTGAACCTGATGAGCGAGGCTCGGAACAGGCGCGGGTCGACGCCGGAGAACACCGGCGTCGGGCACTCGCAAGATGGCATCTTCACGGTCGCCGCAGCCGCTTGGCCCACGGCGTGCGGGAGGCGTCGCGTGAGGGCGCGCAGCCCGTGCGCGGCCAGGCGGTGGTTGGGTTCGCCGGAGAAGGAGGCCAGCTCACTGAGCACGTACAGCAGGTGCTGCGTGCGCGGGAGGTTGCCCGCTTCGATGGCGGCCGCGCACGGGTTCAACAGCTGCTCCGCCCACCTCGCCTCCCTGTCCGAATTTGCTGCGGTGCCCTTGCCACTCCCCTTCTTGCTCGGCTTCGACCTGACGCAGCTCGCTTCCCCCTTTTCTTGCTGATCGCCGCCTCTTCCGCCGCCGCCAACATGGGGTCGTTGGCTGCTGCTGTGTCCAGGAGACTTGCGTTTCTTGGGCTGCCCAAGCTCCTGCTGCGAGGTCATCGGTGCCGACGACGCAACGCTAGTATCAAGGTTCAGGCTTGGATGGTGCAGGGTTGTAGCAGTAGGTGGTAGCGTCTCCACGATCATGCTGCCGACGTCGTGCTGCTCCTGTGCTTCCGATGCCGACAGCCAGCCATAGTCGTTAAAGCCGAGGTCGAGGTTGGCAGCTAGGAAGGCGATGGACTCATCGAGCCAATCTGAGGTCGTGGCGGCTGCCGGTTCTTGGTCTTCTCTCTCATTGTTCATGGCGATTATCCCTGAGCTCTCAAGCTTATCTGTGGTTCTGGGTCATGCAAGGGCTTGGTGATGTTGGCATCTCTGTACTGAAACTCTGAACGGCTAACAAGAAGTATATACTTCCTAGCAGTGTAGTGTATAATTGCGGCGTTCCCTGCATTTTTATACCACTACCACCTCTTATTCTGATGGTAGCAGAGTGAGAGTGACAGCTTGACAGTGAATGCTTCTAGTTATATGTCCATCTCACCAGTTCCTTGGAGCCACCCTACTAGGAATTCTCACACCCGTGGTCCATGATGCAGGCGTTGTGTTGTTGGACACTAATCTCACATAGTGGCATTGTTGTCTTCAGCAAGCAGCATTTTTCTCTCTAATTTCTTAAAGGCAGGTAGCTTAGGCTAAAATCTGAATCTATCTTTTTTTCTTGGAATGAAACTAAAATCCAATTCAGCCTATAAGGACTCGACAATTGCTCAGGTATGGAAAATTATTTTACATACTTTAGTTGATCATCCTTTGTATCCATGCACATCAAGGGAATAATGCAGTTTGAGCCTTGATCAGTAGCAAACAAAAGTTTGTAGTTTTACAAAAGGGAATTATTCCCCATCAAGGGAAGGATCATGAGATCAACTAGTCCTATAAAAAAAATCAGAAACTAGTAGTCTTAGTCATAGTTGTTTGAGATTTAATGATTGTAGGCAGCCAAATTACAACGGCAAGACAGAAGTTGCTTTCTTCCACAGTTTCACAGTTTATTCAGACTCTTACTCTCGTTGTGAGAACTGAGAAGATAGTGAAAGTAACGTGCTTACCAAAGAGCAAACACTACGAATGGTAGCGTGTCATTTATATTGCCGTGTGTAATTGAAATGCCTCACTGCAAGCCACCAGCTTTCTATGATCCTATCCTACACTCTGAAACACTAGATACTACTGCTCGAGACAAGTTTTGATGCCACACCTGTTACTAAAAGACAGTTTCTTTAGTTGTATTTAAGTAGTAATAGACGGATTGGCTTACTGACATCGATCAGCTGTTCTTGTCGAGTGCAATCCATGCTACAATACCATTTTTAATATAATGATGCCACATTAACAAATAGCACAGTGTTACATACCCATCATAGGTTCTTAGTATAACATTTGAAGAACTTCAATCTTCCGGAACCTTCAGTGGTTTCTCTTATTCAATTGCTACAAGTTGCCAAGGTGTTGGCCTATTGAACTCCACCCCAGTGCAGTTTTACTCGGCCAATTGGTACCAAAGCTGATGCCTAGCTATCCACCAGTTGCTTATGGTGTAAACAAAAAGAAGCAAATTGGAAGTAAACTTACACAAGAAACATCGCAGTGCTATTCCTCATTTATTTGGTGCTTAAATCAGCAAATTGGATGGTCATATGGCACCACATGCGTTCCTCATTTTATCATTTATACGTATCACTTCAAGAGGGGCAAAACAGGCTCAGTATAAACACAAGAAAAAATTTCAAATTCCTTATTGTTAATTGTTATGATACCACAAGTCTCCACAACTGTTCAGAAAAATAAAATATTGAAAATCCATGTGAAGTTTCTGGATCTCAAATATTGCAATTCCATTCCAAACATGACGTGTCATGCAGGATCAATTGGGCTGTATTTTCACGTGCGGTGCCTCTAGAGTAATGTGTGAGCTCTGGCATGTAAGGCAGCCTAACCAACACTATTACTAACTAATCAAGGTATTAAACTAATAACTAGAGACACGTATGATGACCTAGCAGCATAGGAATATTAGAATATCCCTTCCTTAAATCCACCGTGCGTCATTTCTAGAATGAACTATCGTATTTGAACATTATTGTTTTTTTATTAGGACATCTCTGAGAGAATGGATGTACATACAAGTTGTGATCTGTCCGTTCGGCTCCACTAGAATCTGAACATCGAATAGTATTTCTTTCAGGGTTCAAAATTTCGGCGAAATTTCGGCCGAATTTCACGAAATTCGATAATTTCGGTGGTGGCCGAAAGAAAACTCCGAAATTTTTTAATACACTAATACATGTACTATATAGCTCTAATCTTATATTTTTCTATTATTTATATTGCATATTCTTCTATTTAATAGATATGTAGTCATAAATCATACTAATATTTGTTTAGATCCAATTTTTTTTAGAAAAAACATACTTCATGTGCTAATCTCTAAAAAAAAAAAATCGGCGAAATTTCGGCCGAATTTCGCGAAATTCGGTAATTTCGGTGGTGGCCGAAATTTTGGCGATACCGAAATTAAAAACCTTGATTTCTTTCCTGACAAATTGTAGTTCGTGATAATGTGTTATCAGTTGGTGACTTATGTGTTTCAGAGACAGTGAATAAGCATTGTAGTACCTGAAAGAGATATAATGATATGCAGCTCTACTGCTTGTTTGAGAGAAGAAAAAAAACAAGACAGGTATAAACCTTTTCAATAGAAGGTGGTCAACCATGCTACTCTGATTATATGAGTTTTTGTATTGATATGATTAAGATGGAAGAACAAAAGTTGATTCACTCTGAAGTGAGCAAATTTCATCAATTTTTTTTTGTATTACAAGGTTCAGCTATCCGAATTCCTTGCAAACTGCAAACATAAAGCATCCCCACCTGATTTATTGCTTGATTAAGACAACAGCCTTACAGCCAGCGGCGGATCCGGGAAAATTTTTAGGGGGGCTGAACAACACATACCTCCGACTGCTGTTCGATCTTAAGTCTCAACCACACGTACACTATAGAACTTTGTCTAAAAATTTATAGGGGCTTCAGGGGGTTCCACTGCTCCGGTATGGGTAGGGGCTCGAGCCTCCCCACCCACCCCCACCGTTGGATCCGCCCCTGCTTACAGCATTGGCTTGGCAGCCTACATGGTTTAGATTTTTCGTACAGGAAGTGATAGGATCTAGAATGTACATCATCAAGTACTAAGTCATTTGTATAGCGTCCTGAAACAGCTGACACCAGGCATTGGTAAGTTAATATGTATATACACTGACTTCTTGTTTAATCTCCTCACCCCCTCTCCTAAATCCTGTTTGAAACCTTGCAGCTTTTAGTACAATTGTTCAAGTCGGCGCAAGCCTGCCTTGCATAGTTCCTCTAAAAAAACATGGCCACATTTTCATTCCGACGTGTACTATTTGTTGAACCATGTTTGTCATTACTATAAGGGCCAGTGGTTGGTCAAATCATCTACTCCAGTCTTTCCTTCCAAATTGTAACAAGTCATTCTAGCTTTTTTTTAATACATGACTTTTACTATGTATCTAGACATAATGTATATGTAAGCACATAGCAAAAACTACGTATGTAAAAAAAAGTCCTGAACAATTTATAGTTTGGAATGGAGGGAGCAGAATACAAGGATTTGATAGTGATGATGAGGCGAAAGTGAAAGCTAAATTGGTCAACTCTCTGCAGACGGTAATCTGGTTTCCCGCATTTGCCCTGTCCTCATCAGTCCATCTGAATCCAATTTTTTTGATAAGGCGATGCATCAGTGCAAAAGGAAACTAGAACTTACGGAGCAGTGTACTGAAACAGCATTCTGAAAATTAAAGATATGGAGGACGTTGAGATCACTAGTCCACACGTAGGTGAGGAATGTAGCAGGTAAGGTTTCTCTCAGTCTGCTGGCCTTTTCTGTCTTGCCGTTTTTGCTACAGTACTCCCCAGCTGTTTTGTCGCTGTCTGTCAGTGTAGCTTTAGTTTTCTTCTGTGCTTACAGTGTGTGTTCTAACCTCGATTCCCTCGGCCTTCTGTGCTTACAGTGTGTTCTCACTCTCCCTTCTCCGATTCTCATCCTCTATAAGGATTTGAATTTCGACTAAACTGGTTCAGGTATAGCATCTTTGGACTTAGAGAACTTCTTTGCTTCTTGCCATGAGCAGTAGCTTCACCTTGTATTATTCTCGGTTCCTTTGTGAATCAGCGAGCCTACCTCATATCATGTGAAGTTTGCACTGTTCTTAACACAGCAGGGGCCATCAACCCATCAGACATAGATGTCATTTTTTTAGCATACATGCATAGATATCATTTTCCTGGACTCGAGACTCAGCAGCGTCATCTGTTTCCCAGCATGTGCAACAAGCTAGGCACAAGGGCCAACGTCAACGTGGTGTATGTAGGGCGTGACGCAGACGCCGCCGCAACTCTCACCTGCCGTAGCAAGTGGCAGCTGATCGGCGCGCGTGCCCCATCACTCGTGCGTCCACTCGAGACACCGCATCAGATCTCTGATAATGAAACGCTGCAGCAAACTGAAATGCGAAACGCGGACGGGTATTTGCGGCACTTGGCAGGCAGGCTTTATTTTGACGGCCGGCCGCGCGGAATCCACCCGAACCTGCCGTGCGACCTGCAGGGACGCGTGGGGGACGCGTTCGGCCTCGGGCCGCGCCCCCGCCCCCGGAGGGTCTAGGAACGCCGTGCAGGGAGACGTGCATCGTGCATGCGGCTGGGAGAGGGGGTGAATTCGTGTGGTCAGTGGTGTGATCCTTCCTCTGCCGCCGGACGACGGCCACGATTCTAGATTTCCAAATGGTACAAGTGCACGGGGCCGCATGGATCGAAGTCCAGCCCACAGGGACCGCGTCCCGCGCGCAGCAGCAGGTAAAGAAAGTGCAAGGATACGAGCAGCTCTGGGTTGGGCCACTTGGGTGGGCTACGAAAACGTCTCAGCGCGTGGCGGATCTCCTAAGCGCTAGCGGGCTGGTAAAGCGCTGGGAACCTGCAATGAGACGGACGCTCTCGACCTCAGCGCCGCCTGCCTCTGCGCTTTTTTTTTAAAGAATCGGCCTATTCACGAATTGTCACATCCGTTCTCCCCATTCCCTCCCATTCCTGATCTCAAGAACGAGGCATGTCCCGTCTCTCTCTGTCAACCCTCAAAAACATCACACAAGAACACACGGAGACAAAGTACATGAGGGGAGCTCATCTCTTCATTAGTCATTATAGGTTTTATATAGATG